AACTAGGAATAGCGCTTCCTCAAGATCCAGCTATACCACTCCTAGGCATATATCCAAAAGAGGCTCAAGTACACAATAAGGACATTTGTTCAACCATGTTTGTAGCAGCTTTTTTTGTAATAGCCAGAAGCTGGAATCAGCCCAGATGCCCCTCAGTGGAGGAATGGATACACAAATTGTGGTATATCTACACAATGGAATATTACTCAGCAATAAAAAAAAAAAAAAACAAGGAAATCATGAAATTTGCAGGTAAATGGTGGGATCTGGAAAAGATCATCCTGAGTGAGCTATCCCAGAAGCAGAAAGATGCACACAGTATATACTCACACATATAGACATATAATTTAGGATAAACCTACTAAAATCTGTACACCTAAAGAAACTAATCAAGAGGGAGGACTCTTGCTAAAATGCTCAATTCCTATCCAGAAAGGCAAAGAGGCTGGACATCAGAAGAAGGGAAAAGAGAGAACAAGTCAGGAGCCTGACACAGAGGACCTCTGAAAAGCTCTGCCCTGCAAAGTATCTTTACACACAACTTTGCCTGCAGATATTGCTATTGCTATCTTTATGTGATTAATGCTATACAAAGCACAGAGCATACAGCATAATCTTGATGAGTTGGGTCAATAAACGTATATATCAAATGTGTCTCACTGGCTATGCAAAAACCTTTTCATCTTTGAAAAAGTTTGGTAATCAAATAAATACTCTGGGGAATTTCTCATATCTGCATACCGAGACAGATATGAGAAAGTAAACCTAAATTAAATACCTAAGTTAGATATGTCATAAATTAATTTAATGATTTACAAAGATTTTCTTATTTGTTAAATATACATGCTTTCATAATTTTATGTACTGATGACTAATCTGGAGAAAGTCATGGACATTACCTACCTACTAAAGGCATATCTTCTCTTGAAAACTACTTTTCTTTAGAACTAATTTTTTTCTTCTGTTCTCTCTAGAAAGCTAGAAGTGTGTTACTTCAAATAAGATGTAACTTTGATAGAATTTAAAATATTAATGTGCATATGTGCTTATAGAGAATTTATTAGGCAATTTTTGGATTTAGCATGAATTTTTCAAAATACATTAACAAAATATACCCATAAAGGCTGCAAACTATATTAGTGATGAAAGTGGCCATGAGATTGTCTTTTTATTCCTTCCTCCGTACACATACCAACTTACTATCTGTGTTTGCATTGTCTTGTCTGCATTCATGGAACTTGCCCAAAGAAATTGTATGCTTCTCAATATCAAATAGAGCAATGTTTCATCCAGGCAAAAATCCTGCACAGAGCTGAAATTACACTCTTTATTTATTTACTTATTTACACAGTGCCAAAAGCTGTTCCTAAAGACTCACAAGGATAAATTAATTCTGTCCTCCAACAACCTTTTTAAGCAATGTCTCTTCTTAACCTCATCTCTAGATGAGGCAGCTGAGCTTGGAAGTTTCACCCAGCTTTTCAGGGTCATGCATTTTGTAGGTGTCAAGATCCAGCATCTTTGTCACAAGCTCTTGATAATGGTATCAGAGTAGCTAAAACCATATTGCCACTCAGCATCACCCACTAGCACTCAGTGCTATGCCCAGTCACAGCTGGAAGCCTACTCTGTGGAGATGCTTCAAAGTTCCAGGGACCTATCTCTTGACCTTGGGAAGTTCCTTCAACAATTTTGGATTATACCTTTCTTGCACAAAGCATGGGAATATCCATCCACTCTGCAGTCTTGGTGAAGACAGTGTTGAGCAGTTAGTGTCAATCAGAAACTCAGTCTCTTGCTCCTGCTCCTATGGAGCAAAATAGCCATTGATATGGATCTCCTGTATGGGCCTAGTATATTAGTGTATGATTTCTATAGCTGGCTGAATAGGAGTGTTAGGGACTTCATCTTGGCATAGGTCCATGTGTGTTTATCAAAATACTCTCTGGCATCTTAACCATGTATAGACTAGAAGCCATCAGCCAGAACAGATTGGGGCTGTGGTCAGTAGTGGTAAAAGGGGTTCCAGATGCATAGCTTCCCACTCACTGAAGAGCTCTCTGGTGGATGGAAAACTCAAACCCCAAGAACAAAGAGCAAACTGCTGTTAATACAGCAGTAATGGCCACTAAAGAAACAAAATTCTAATTGTATAAATGCCCCACTCTTGATATCCAGATCCCCAAGCATATGAGCAGGTCAGTAAGGCAACAGACAGTAATTGGCAAAGACCATCACAGTAACCACAACTGATGATAGCTTTTTGATAAAACTTTCTTTTTATGCTGGATGTGGCTAGAGATCCAGATGCTAAGTTCCAGATGGTCCTCAAAATATTTGATTATTCTCAGGCTTCAGCATGCTTTCAACATGGAATTCAGAATTCCATAGAAGGAGTCACCAAGAATTCAGAGCCTGTCTGGCAACTCCAACAGCGGATAGCCCACTGAAGCTACTTCCTCAAGATTCCTCGGAGACCTAAAAGGCTTTCCTAGTTCCCTGTTCCTGAGGTTTCTGCCTCTGGAACAGTCTCCCCTTGACTGCTGGCAGGGGAAATTACTCCTGTCTTAGCCACAAAAATTCTGCACTTACTTTCACAACTGCAGTGGCTATAATGCTCTAGGTTATCATTCTGCTCTTATCAAGGGTTCACATAAATGTGTTATGATCAGTTTTACTCAGGGAAATTTACTTAAATATACATTTTCCTCTGGTGATATGTTGTAAGTAAATGATAGTCATATGAATTTTTTCATTCTTTAAGCTAATTACTTTTCCAGCATTAAGTACTATGCTAGATAGTGCTGGACACCATGTTTTGTACTTGAAACTGATAGAAGTACACAAAATAGATACAAATTTCAATAACCAAGCTGTCAAGATGGGTAAAAGTGGGTAAAGGTGCTGTGTAAACCTGGCAACCCAAGTTTGGTCCCTGGAACCCACATAAAAGTGGGAGGAGAGAAGTTACTTCACAAAGTTGACCTTTGATTTCAACAGATGAGCCATGACATGTATCACTCCCCCGTCATCCCCACATTGAGAATAATAACAAAAATCTTACAAAGCAATGTTACTCTGAATAATCATGGTCCATTTAAGTCTTTGGATTTTACTGATCAGTACTCTACTAAGATGTTGTTTTATTCCCAACACCTTGAATTAGGCTATAGTATGAAACACAGTTCCCTTGGCCCCTAATAATGCAGACCATTGCCTTTGCTTGACCATCATAATCTTATGGTAGGACCCTATTGCTGAAAACACCATACATATTGGTCATGTGTTATGGAGAAATAAAGTTGGTGCTGACTAGGAAGCTTCCTTTCTCCTGGCTAGATTTCATAGCACTGGAAAGTGCTGTAAGAGATGCTGAAGAAAAAAGTCATCAACAGACTTACCCAGCTGTGAACCCTGTGAACTACAATAATGTTACTAATGAGGCAAAATGTGTCCGGGGTGCAAATAATGGCATTTATGTTATAAGGCCAACCAACTACTTTCTTGTTGGATTTTAAGGTCTGCTCTATGAGGAAACAAAACAAAACATATCCCTATTACTATAATGCTGGCTAAAGGAGCTATGGTTAAGGAGCTCATTGGCTCTGGGGGCAACCGATGACTAGTATTCTACCAAATGACAGAGCATCAAATTGCCTTCCACATGCTTCTCTCTGCTAATGGATTAGTGCATCTCTAAGAACTCATTAGGGAAAAATGTTTGTGCACTGTGCAGTGATTAATGGAGAAACTTATAACTAAGAGCCAAGAATATGTATCGGTGGAGTGCTCAGCCACCAATGGGACATCCATGCCAACCTCCTTAAAGCCCAGGAACCATCATAAAAGGGAAGAAAGACTGCAGTGAAAGAGCATCTTCTGAACATGCCCAGACAGCTGCACTCATGAGCTCACAGCACCTGTGACTGCCCTCACAAGACCCAGCCACTCAGCATTTTATCATGGAGGGGAAATGAGTGTTTGAGTCTCCTCCCCTAAATGAGGCCCTATGGACAAATGATGGCTTCTAGAGGAGGAACAGCTTTCTTTTAGCTCAAACTCCAGTGGCAAGCTCTACACCCAGCGCTTTTATTGGCAATATATATTAGATTCAGAAACTTGGTGTGGGTAGGGATCTGGGAAGAGTTGAGCATAGTTACAGGAGTTAATATGATCAAAATACTGTGAAGGAAATTCTCAGATGATGCCTGATAGGTTAGGGTCAGATAAAGGGGAGGAGGTCCTCCTCTATCTGTGGACTAGGGGAGGAACATAGGGGTAGAAGAAGGGGGAAGGATGGGATTGGGAGAAGATTTAGGAGGGGGCCACAGCTGGGATACAAAGTGAATAAATTGTAATAAAATTAATAATTAAAATAAAAAATGAAAAAATAGTTATTAAGAAAATACAAAGGTTTTGGAAAGCTAATATCTTCCTGAAGATGACTGTATGGTATTAGTCTGATTCTCCACTTAGTGCTGTTTCTGAAATAACTGTGGAGCAACCTACCCAGAGTTGCAGAGCTAAGAACAGTACTTCTAAGATGGAAGCTTATGGGACCATTAGGAGATTCTCCACTGAGGCTGACAAACCTGGAAAAGGCTTTTGCATAACAGACAAAAGCCTCCTTAAGTTACTTATGTATTCCTTTTCATCTTCTCCCAGCCACATTTCAATCATTGCAGGCCTTGAAGCAACAAACCCAGAAATGTGCTTCCCAGGCTGGTCTCCAGGGCAACCTCTGGCATCCTCTAACTCAGCACTCTGCTTCTACAATTTGCAGTTTCACCTTAGTTCCTCTATCGACTATGCACTGATTTCTATATTTGCTGATTTGTTTTTAAAGTTAATCCAATGTCTCTGTCAGTGTAAACAGATGGCAGCAATACCCCAGCAATTTAAAGGAGTTAGTAACTTTCTCTACATTTGTACACATTGCCTTATTGTAAAGCAATATATAACAAATGTGTAATGCTTCACATGTTTTTTATTTGACTCAGATTTGGTGATGGCTATACAGTCAAAGTTTGGCTCCACAAGGAAGGAAGTCAAGCTAGCACAGTTTCTGACTGCTTGAAGCTCCATTTCCCAGGAATCCAGTTTAAGGTAAGTTCTCTGGCTTTTTCAGAGATTTTGTGAACAGATATCTATTCATCCCAGATAAGGCATTGATGACAAGCTAAAGAAAGGATGACATTTAGGTGTAGCTTGGGGAACCAGTGAGCTTATTGGAGTTACCTAACCGGAGTGTGAGTTACTCAAAGGCACGTTGAATAACCAGCTCAGGGTGAGTGACTGGTCACCCAAACTGCACTTCCGGGATTCGCTGTGCCGCATGAAGTCAACTCCAGTGGAGAATTGTCTTCCTCCTCTTATTATTGTATAACCTTGTGGGAAGGCCTTCATGAATTTTTATAACTTTCTGTTTCCTGAGCCTTGTAAGTTTTCTAAGTTTCTTGTCCTATGAGCTCATCCTCCCTCCAGGAGGGAATGTTTCAAGTGGGATAAAACAGGTATGCATGTGTTACTGTTTTTAGCCAAAAGCGTATTAGATATGTATTAGTTGTTTTTCTGTTTTATTTCATGCTGCCAAAAGTCAGAACCTGTTGTATTTTTGCCTCTTTGTGAATTATCGGCCATGTTTCCTAACCAAAATAGCTTGGATGGTGGGCATTGCTTGACCACTCTGAGAGATAACAGAGCTGCCTGGTCACTGTGTGGCCATGATCACACATGCTTCCCTCTTAGCCTGATCATGGCTCCATTGCACAGCTCATTTCTTTAGGGTAGAGGACTGCAGAAGTTGTTCTTCTACAACTTCTACTGAAGTTTTCAAAGCATTCAGCACAATCCTTTCTTTTCTATCTTTCTTATTTGTTTGTTTGTTTTGCACAATCTTGCTGTATTGCTTGGCTAATTTGAAGCTTACTATGCAGCTAAAGTTAGACTTGAATTTGGACCAAATCTCCTACCTCTCCCCTCAAGCCCTAGGTTTATAGCTGTGGGCACCACACTTGCTTATATTTTTTTTGAAGTTTATATATATATGGCATTTTACCTATGTGCATGCCTGTGCACCAGTGTCAGTACCCCCATTTCTGAAGGCCAGAAGAGGGCGTTGGATCCCTTGGAGCTGGAGTTACAGACCACTGTGAGCTCCCATGTGGGTGCCAAGCATTGAATGCAGACTTCTGGAAGAGCAGCCTGTGCCCTTAACTACTGAGCCATCTCTTCAGCCTGGTTTATAATTATTTTAAATAAATGTTCTTTTAAATAAATATGTTTAGATATGTTATTCTTATGTATTATAACTTCTAACAGGTAATAGGCGTTAAGTAGCCATTTTTATTTATTTTAACAAATAACCTAGGACACACTATCATTTGTATTCCAGTACTATTCTAAAAGACACAGTAAAAAAAAATGTCATTATCTCCCTGTGAAAGCATGAAAACAAGTATCAGGGTGAGTAATTTTTTTTTTCACCAAGAGTTGCTCAGCTAATGGAAAAGACATGGGACCAAGAATCTCATGATGCTCGTGAAGTTCAGGGAACCCTCAGGTATTTTCATTCTGCCATACTCACCCCCTGTTTCTGGAGTATGTGTAGGCAGCCTCTGGCCATTAAAGTGTCCCCTAGTGCTTATGACATGGTGGGCCAGAGTAGATGTCTACAGACATCTGTAGATGTCTACAGAACTTTTCACTAAAGCGCAAGAGTATACATTATTTTCAGCACCCCAATGGAACCTTCTCAAGAATTGATCATATAGTCCTTCACAAAGCAAGCCTCAACAGATACAAGAAGATTGAAGGGCATATTCTCAGTCCTCATGAATGCCACTTGTCTGATACCCTTCAAGGTGAACTGCAGCAATAAGCCTTCATCAGTGACTCCCAACATTAACCCACACACCTCACTGGTACACGTGTGACTGGAAAAACGTATTTACAACAAAATGTAGTGTGATTAAATTTGTTCAATGATTTCCAATCTTGACTTCTCATGTTTTCTGACTTTTAGGGACAGCGCCTTAATTTATTGGAATATCATGTACAAAAGAGTTGGGGGTGTTTAGCTGATTTGTTCAAAGTCCTAGAGAACAATAAGAGCCTCCTGAATATCAAGCATTATTCCATCAGCCAGACCACTCTGGAACAGGTATGCCACCTCAAACAACACAGCATGCTGCTCTTGGATGTCATTTTTGGACTTTATCCAGCATATTTTAAAATTAGTTAGATTGCTTCCTAAGCACCCACCCTCTTTTAATTAACCTTAGTTTTCCAAAAGTCTAGTAAAAATGGTGAAAGTTAGGAGGCTTGACTATCATGTGTGCTTCATTCAGTATTCAAAGCTTTAATTTGCTCAACGAGGCACTGAACAATCCCTTCTGTTAAATTTCCCTTTTCTAACTTATTAATCCCAAATGATGGGTTCGATTCTGCAGTAGTAGAACAGTAGCTGACTCTGGGGAAAATAAGTAGAGAATACCAGAAATGTAAACTTACTGAAACAACAAGGTATTGGAGTATTGAGACTTCCCAAATGACTTAGGCCTTATTTGTACTGCTAACTGCTCAGCGGATTCATGTGTGTGTGTGAGACGATAAAGGCAGTGGTGGTATAAAGGCATGATGTCTGTCTTTTAGGAAATTATTTTATTTGTAATTAAAATATAATTACATCGTTCCTCCTTGATCCTTCAGTTTCTCCCTCCAACAGTCTCAGATAGTTCTTCCTGCTCTTTCCAAAGGGCATTGGTATTACTACATATGCATACACACACACACACATATAAGTATAAATTTTGTTTTGTATGTGTATGGTTTTAGAGCTCAGCACTTGATAGCCAACATCCAATCAGGAGTTTCTGGGGAAGACCAAGTCTAATCTCTCAGCAATTATTAATTGCCCCTAGTTCTTCATCCAGGGGTGGAGCCATGTGAGATTTTCCCTACTTATGTTGTCAATGCTGGGGTTGTTATTATTCATATCTTGTTTAGGCTACTTTACTGTGAGTTCATGGATGTAACTTCCCTGCCATTTCTAGAATATAGTCAGCAGAGTGTGTGGGCCTCTCTCTGTTTGAGATTGGACAGTATCTGAGACAATGTCCCCCTTTATAATAGTCAATACCCAAAGGTCCAATGTTCTTTTGAGTTAGTAACTATTTGCATTATTTCTTTCAGGTTTTTGTTAATTTTGCCACTGAGCAGCTGTAAACCTCACACTTTTCTGTTGAGCCACCATCCACTGATGGACAGCATACGTTCTACTCGCACGTCTAGGCACCAGAGGAGGAACCCTGTCTTTCATTACAGTTCATCAAAGACTAGACACAGGCACAACTGGGGATCTGGAAGAAATGCCCTGGCAGTCATGTATCCTCTCTTTTATTTTCTAATTTGAAACTCTATTCTTATAAATAACCAACAAACTGAAAGTCCATCTTCCAATGTAGACTCTTTGAGTTGTTTTTTTTTTTTTTTTTTTCTATGATTGCTAAGCCAGGTGGGTGACTGCTTCTGTGTGGCAAACACAGCAATGATCTGACGGACTCCAAAGTAAGAAGTTCAGGAACCAAGAAGCCCACCCTGCACCACCCAATCTACACACTGCATCTTCATTTTAAATAGACTCCATCCCCGTCCCTAACTCATTTGAATAGGAAACAGCTCAAGATGCATTTCTATTTTTCACATTTTAAAATAAATGCCTGGCAATTTAAATGCAAACTTTTTCTAAAAACTAAATGACAGTATGTTGTGGCATGAAGAAATTGCCACACACATGCTTTTCTCCTTTATGACAATCCATCAGCAAAATTTAATACATGTATCATTCATAACACTCTTAGTAGAATCTCACAAAATAATTGTGTGTGGTTATGGAAGGAAATAAAAGTAGATTATATTGCTGTTAATTTTGGATGACTAATTTTTGTTGTCTTAAAATTCTAAGCCAGTTGTTTTTGAGAGGGTTCCATGTTGGACACATTAGCCTCACCTGGAGCTTGGTGGAAACTCAAATTCTCAGGCCCCATCTCTGAGGGAGAAAGATCTCAAACCCCTGGGCTATGGCCAAACACTCTGGGTTTAAACATGCACAATGCAGGTTGACGGCCAGTGTCCCCAGGCAAAGTCTAATCCTAGAAGGATTATACATATCACATAGTAATTGAACACTGAACTGTAAGTATTTTTCAAAAGTTTTTTTTAAAAAATGTCATTCTCAGAATGTTTGCCCTCAGAGATAGGGCTCCCATAGGCTCTATTAAAATAATAAATAACACCTTACAGTTAATAAAATGTGTAAAATCAATGTGTCTACTCCTGAACGGGATCTGCAGTCAGACACTGCTGAACATTTTTAACAGCATTTTTTTTTAAACCTTGATGATGGACCACAATAATTTCGTTGCAAAATTTGGCCTTAGCTAGCATTAGCACTGGGTAGTAATAGCTCTGCTATACAGAAAGAACTTCATTGTACCATTTTTTTTTTAATACCAGGATTTCATTAAACCTGCCTTTTCTGGATGTCATTTATATCTAAGATACTCTAATACTATTCATTAATCTAATCATGGGCAGCTTTGATGTCACTGGTTTTGATTTTCATGTATCAATCTCATAAATTATACTTTTGGTAAAAAAAAATGATAATTTATGGACTTATGATTTTTCTTTCCTCCGATTCTGATACATTCTATTGTGAAAATGAAAGCCAGCCTTTCATTTCTGTTGTTGAATCAATAAATACCAATTTGTGGAACATGAATATATTTATACTGTAGTGAATAAATGAGATGTGCTATAATTTAACCTGGCCCTTGAAAGTCATTGTGTTTGTGCCAGTGTATTCCTTGCATCTTTATTTGTGTCTTTGGGGGATCCAATTTAATTTGGGTAAGGAGGAAATGGAACAACTCCACATCTTTTACAGTTTGAAAGGTTAAAATTTAATTGAGTTTTGCTCTGCAATGTCCTCCTCTTAGGGGTTCTTTTTCTGTCTTTGAACTGCTGTATTCTTGAAGTTTGTGCTTCAAGGTATGCCTTTGAACAATAAGCAGGAAGAAAAAGACAGCCAACATGCTAAAGTGGCACATCCCAGAAGACTGGACACAAAGGTCAAATCTTATGCTAATGTTGAAAATGCCATTACCTTTAGAAGTCATGTGGATATTTTATGCCTTTGCAGTTAAACACTTGTCTTAAGATTTTTGAGCTGAAGGTCATACAACTGAGACTTTTAAACATACTATCTTCTCTGGAAGTCATCCTGAGTAGAAACTCTATAGGGCAGGGGTTACAATGGTAATTTTCAGTAATGTAACACTCACTGTATGCCTTAGCTTTGCTAATTAATACATGATATATTAAGAATCCACATACAAAATAATTCTAAGCATTCAGTGAAATGGACATTAACACTTGATCGCTTAAGGATATAGTTTGGTTTATTTATTAACTATTAAATCGAAAAGTTATCTAACATAACCATTTCCAACAATTTAAAAAACACTTACATCAATGGGAAGAGAGACTGCCTTTGACAGAATCTGATTGGCCTGCTCTTTGATCAACTCCGCCTGAAGGGGGAGCAGCCTTACCAGGCACAGAAGATGACAATGCAGCCACTCCTGATGAGATCTAATACACTAAGATCAGAAGGAAGGAGAGGAGGACGACCCCTATCAGTAGACTTGGGGAGGGGCATGGGTGAAGAAGGGGGAAGGAAGGTGGGATTAGGAGGGGAGGAGGGCGGGGTTTATGGGGGGTGAATAAAGTGTAATAAAGTGAATAAAGTGTAATTAATAAAAGTTTAAAAAAAACATGCATCAATTAGTGTTCTCAAGAATGCCTTGAGTGCTTCTAAATTACAAATTTGCTCACCCAAACAAAGGCGAGGGATACTTCACATTTTCATATCAATTAGTCAATTGGTTGTCTCTTTTTTTATAACTTAGTTTTATACTTGAAAGATTCAGAGTCCTTTCATGCATTCACAAGTTCGCACAGTCATACACATTTGTTCCTTTAAATAATATATACCATACCAATGAAAAAATCTTTGTCTATAAGCAGATGGAGCTATGAAAAAATATGGGCTGACAGAGTCATAGATGAAAATGCTGTGACCCTGTCCTTGAGTTTGCAAACAGATGGAAATGACAAGATGAGGTCACACAGGATGAGCCCTGCCTGCTGGGAGCCACAGCATGATCCATTCTGGGGGTCTGGGCACAGACTATACTACTCAGTGGGCCTCTGAGTTGGAGAATGGGGGGAATGGCATTTAAGGTTAAAAGGATGTGAGAGCATATCAGCAATATTTAATGGGCAACACGTATTTGAGTATGGCTTTGGGAGACTCTAAGAGAGTGAGAGCCTGTATCTCTTAACAACGTCATTACATTTCTAGATGACTGCTACAGCTATAGCTATTTCAGTGATAGAGGGGCATGGGAGAAAAGAGCTATATGGAGGGAAGGGATAGGGAGAAGAGGAAAGGCAAAAGGGGAGAAGGGGAGAGTGAGGGAGGGATTGGACTGAGTGCACAAGTAGAGCTACCTTCAGAACTTTGATTAGCCTAACTCATTTTCTGCATCCAGAAATATTCATGAGCCCGTAACTAGCTGCAAGCATGTTGGACAGGGCAGTTGTTAGCCATGCTTCTGACCATCCTGGGAGGAAATGGGGATTCCAGGTCTGTAAAAGCTAATGGATATTATATAGACAACCAGCAAGTTCTACAGGAACAAGGCTTGTGGTCATTTTGTCTGGGGCAGAATAAATTGGATTTGAACTTGTTGAGTAAGAACAAATTTTGTGACTATCTAAATTATATGAATATTTTCAGAATTAAAGCTGTGTCTTCAGACCTATAGAGCAGAAGCCACTTGTGTTTGTCGGCATTATTTTTAAATTTAGTGCAGTAGATAAAGAGAATAATATTTTACGGAGATGGAGAGTTCCATTTCAGCTAAATAAATAGCCCTGTTATTTTTTTCACCGTGAGAATTCATATAGAGATATCTCATGGATAAATAGGTTCTATTGCGAAGGAATTCCAGAAGCTGAAAGAAACCGCGTTTCCTCAACTATTTGCCCATGTTTGTTTTCACAACAGACAGCTAGCACAGCCATGTTTACTGCAGCAGCAATGCTCACAGTACCCAGGTTATGAAATCAGCCTGGGTGTCTCCCAACAATTGAATGGAAGAAGAAAATATGGTATACTTCCAAAATGGAATTTTATTTATCCATAGAAACAGTAAAATTATGTTAGTTGCAGAAAATGTGTGAAATGAGATAATATTAAATGGAATAAGCCATTCTCAGGAAGACAGTGGCCGGGTTTTCTCTCATGTGTGATTCTAGTTTTATAGACATACATAAATATATACAAATACACAAAAATATACAAATATACACATATGCACACATATAAACATTCCCATATGTACAAACAAAAGCCTGGGGAAAAAAGTAGACTAGCAGGGGTGGAGTTGAGGTGGGAGAAGAAACAGGAATGTATGGGAAGTAAAATGGCTATGATGCATGCTATACTTGAAATAAACAGGCTTTCAGAGGCTAGCACTGTGTGCGATGGATATCTGTGCCTAAAAGACACATTCCACTCCTGTATAAGTGGGCTGGTCTAACTCCTAATTTTTAAATATAAAACTCTTTTGAGGAAAATGAGATCCCATTGAGCTAAATCTGGAAAACTTGGCAAAATTCATTGTTTAAATCACATGTCTAGAAGCCTCAGCAGTAAATCCTTCTGTAAAGCGGCACCTGTGTCCTTCCTCCTCTGGAAGCTAGCATCACACAGATGTTCTGCCTTGTAATCCCTACTCCTTCACTTTCTGCTTCATCCTTCACCTGCTCTACCCCCAATGCACCTCTCTTTTTGTTAGCAATATAGAAAAAATAACTCCACTTTCCTAGGTCCAGTCAGCACTTGAACATCCCTATCTGTTCACCTCTGTGTTGGTGTACTTCCAATCCTTGTATCTATGGTTCTGTATGTTCTTGGATTATTGGCTGTTGCATTTCATTTTTAATCAATTGCTCTTTCCAAAAAATGAACTCATCAGACTTTTCAACCTCATTTCTTAGAGCTGTTTCTGGATTAGGATTTTTTTTTAATCTACTATTGATAGTCTTTGAAGTCTCTGCATCACCCATCACCAATTACCACCAGCCAGCTGATG